GTTTATATTTTTACATGTGATCAATTAATTTCTCTCTGCATATTTTTATGTGCTATAATGTAAATTTACTGTACGTTTTTTTATGTACAATACGGCTCATTAATCAAAATTAATCGAATTCTTTTTCAGTGCAGAACAGAGTAGATGGTTAAGTGAGCATCTGATTACACATTTCCATAAAAGAAAGAGGGGATAATGTTGGTAGTAACAAAAATTCTTAGACAACACAATTTAATTTCTGTGGATTGGTGATACTGTAAGTAGTAATCTGCTAGTTGCGGAAGCCTTTTTGACATGTGCATACATGCATATGTCATATGATGTGCATATATAAAATAATAATAAAGTATTTTCTAAAGTGTTATACTTTTCTATAATAATAAAGTATTTTCTAAAATAAATTTATCTATATACACATTATGACTATAAATGTGTTGGGCCGATTCTTTTTTTCGATTCTTTTTTTTCGAAAATATTTTAGAAAATCTTAGAAATTATCTTAGATAATTATCTTAGAAAATACTTTATTATTATAGAAAATACTTTAGAAAATACTTTATTATTATTTTATATACGTCATGTGACATATGCATATATGCACATGTCAAAAAGGCTTCCGCAACTAACAGATTATTACTTATACAGTATCATCAATCCACAGAAATTAAATTGTGTTGTCTAAGGATTTTTGTTACTACCAACATTATCCCCTTTTTTTTATGGAAATGTCGTGTATCTCATAATCGAGTATCTCTCTCGCTCGCACAGAAAGATGTGCGGTGAGAACATAGAGATGGCGCAAACATCTACACTTTTCTACACTCATAAAGGATTTAATGAGCTACACTGTATGGTAAAGCAGATTTGCATTCTATTTATTTGTGCATTATTTATACTTCTTGCATTCTAATTTCTCGATTTTCTTTTTTCCAATGTTCGCATAATATATCAATCTGTTTTTAGTACAAAAAAATATTAAAGAAGGTGAACAAATCTCATGTCGTGTAGAAGATTCAAATATCCACTAGAAAATGTATGCTAGGGATATATATTCATATTGATGACACCGATTGCCATGACTGGGACCCAAGGACTTCATTTCTTTATGATTAGTTACTTGAAATACACAATGATCTAGCTGGCACGTGGTAGTTTTTATCAATAGAAAATACTATTTTTATATTTACCACAAAATTTGTTATTACATTTCAATCCAACGATTGAATATATTTAAAATTTGATTAATTAGAATTTAACATTCATCATGTCAGGTATTGAGAACAATTCGTTCGAAGGTAACCGTTAATACAGATTTCCTTTATTTACTGAATGTTGATTGTAATTGTTATGATTTCACAATTGTTACATTTATTTATTGCAATGTAAATGTTAATTGTGGCTATTGCGTTGTAGATTATTATAAAACCGACAATTTTGATGATAGCGAGTTGCAAGCTCGATTGTACGCAGAAATTTATTATGAAACGGGCGAAACAAGTACCTCAGGTGTCTCAAAGACGATTCAGTTCAATAATGTAATTGAGTTTAATAAGGAGTCAGAAAATATGCAACATATACTTGAAGCTACTGAAGGTAAATCTAATAAAATTAAGAAAAAATTTAATTTATCAAACCATTGTAACCAAAACATTCTAAAAGAAAGTTCCATTACAAAGCAATTGATATGTGATAACACATTTTGTATACAATATTCAGCAGATTCTCAGAAGACCAAGTCAATAGATAAAACCAATTTTGCTCAAATTGATACACTGACTGATAAAGAAATAAATTCTGCACTGCATGAATATAACAATGAAAATCCAGAAGATTCTTCAGAGACAAATGGAAAGGAGAGCAAAGAAAGTTCTTCCAGAAAACGTAAATTTTCTAGACATACAAGAAGTAAACATCAAGAGAACTTGGAGAAAGACCATAGTACCTCATCAAATGATGCAGTGTATTCAAAATACAATGTTATTTCAAAATATGTAAAGCAACAGAAGCTTATAGAGAAACAAAGTAATGAAAGTAAACGAGTCTCAGATAGTTCTGATTCTGAAGAATCTATATTTGAAGTACCTGTTCCACCAAAACCAGCACCATTACTTATAAATCTGCAAGATTCTGATGATGAAAAAGATATAGATTTGGAAACAGAAAATGATCCAATTTTAAAAAGGTGGAATGAATTAAACAAAATATATTCTCCATCTAGATATCCCAAACGTGAAATTAGAAAAACATCAAATACTCTTCAAGATACATCTTCTAAAAATAGTACAGATAAATTTTCATATAATAATAGTACATCAGTGAATCCTGATAGAAATGTCCAAACACATGCACAGGAAACTAGGGAAGATATTGTTTTAAATTGCACAATAATTCAGAAAGGTGCCGCAAATATAGGTGAAATTAAACAGTTATCCAAAAATATGGAGATAGAACAAGGAAATAAATTGACTAATGATGCAAGTCAACATTCTAAAAGACTATCACCACGAGATAAATCAAAAGGAAATAATAAAAATAATGTTAATATTCAACGAGAAACATCTATATCTCCAGCAGGAAAAAAATTTCAAACGAAGACACAACAAAACTTAGATAAAACAAACAAAACATTGGGAGTAGAAGATCGAAAGAGACAATATAACGAGATTGAGCAAATGCGACATTGCACTCAACAAAGTAATAAAGGCATTGCACTGCAAAACAACAAAGAGAAAAAGAACGAATCGACAAATGAGTTCTTCAAGTCAATGTCGGAACAAATGAGGGACTATTATAATTCAACTCAGGGACAAGAAAACTTTGATGTTAACGAACTGCAACGAAACATGTCAAAGGATCCGCGAATGTGGGCAATTCTAGATGAAGACATAATGCCATGCCCCTCTAGCAGACAACGTACCAGATTCTGGAATGTCAGGTGCACTAATTGCCAACAGGACGGCCATCAACGCTACGACTGTTCGATGCCACGTAAGGCATCGTGTTGTTACGTGTGCGGCATGAGGGGTCATATGGAGTCTCGTTGTCCACAGAAGATGTGCCTAACATGCGGTAAGCGACAGAGCACGTTTCGTAAGACTTGTGAATATTGTCGTGTTCTATATTGTACAATGTGTAATTCGGTAGGACACGAGCTAAAGCAATGTCCTGATCTCTGGCGACGGTATCATCAGACGACCGATATGCACAATCCACCAAAAGATCCAGGAAATGTGATGAAATCGTCGGGTCAACTCCATTGTTGTAATTGTACTAAACGTGGTCATGAATCATCCACCTGCAAGGAATATCGATGGTCTCAGCACTTTCCTACTCCAGCTGCCGTCACAAATTATACGGATGGACCCATGTACACACCATCAAATATTGTCTCATCTAATCCCAAGATTGATAGTTCGTCGTCTAAGACAAGAAACACATCAACTTCACAAAGTATTAATAATATACAACATACAAGCAAAGAGTTGGAACCGACTGCTAATATAAATACGTTAAATAATAATTCTTGCATTTTACCAACTCCACAAAAAATTACATGCATTTCAACAATGGAAGAAAATTTAAAATCTTTCTCCTCGATAGATCAACCTAGGGAAAACATCAAAATTACTAAATTAAACGAAAAAACATTCGCTAATGTTATATATTGCTGCGGTAAATTTTATGACAAATATAATAAGAATGCACGGATGATCGTGAAAAATATTTCAACGTTTTTTATTAATAAATCAGATGTATTAAATAGCTTAATATCGCGTGAGGTTGCTCCGGTTTTTTTTAAGACGTTGTTTGACAAAGCTAAAATAGAATTTGAAGTAAAAATAGGCTATACGGTTACTCATCAATGGGATGTAACGTTACAATTACTAGCAATGAGGGAATACATAGAGCATTTATATGATTTGTTGAGGTATTGGCTCTTTCTTCCAGATGACGAGAAAGATTACGGGATAGATGTGAGTCTACCCATACATCCTTTAAGAATGTTGAACTTGATGAATTCAAGAGTGTCACAACTCAAAAAAATGCGATTCACATGTTATGCCGAACATATAGGAGGAGAGAATGACCCACGATGGATAAACACCTTAATAAATGAGGAGAAAAACAACTTGAAGAAACATGAAAAAGATGGAAGTAAATATCTATATAGGCGTATACGTACAAAATTGTGGCGTCTGCAAACCAAACTTCTCATGATTGTTAACACTGAGCCAGAGCCGAATGTTTTCGTGTGTATGTTTAATGATGAACGGGAGAAACTCATCAAATTGACACAAATGAGTGAGAGACTCGATAATGCGACTTATCTTAAACTTGTCTTAATTTACAATCGTTTATTTGTACCTCATACACCAGAAACTTTATATAAAACGATAGAGCGTTTCACTTACGAAGAAAACAGGAAATCTTCGTCACAAATACAAATGACGAAAATGGCAACATCTGCACAAAAAAATCTCACATACAATACGTATCCGTTACCACATGCGGCAACTTTGCAGAAAATTAATTACGAAACTCCTTCCTCGATTGATAATCAACAAAATAATGAAATATTAATCGAAAGACAAAGCATGAATGATATTGTGCTTGAGATGAACAAAACAACACATCGCAACAGCGATGAAACAATAGAAGATTATCTTATTCCTCAAACGCCATTAAATACTGAACCTGAATCAGTTAAATTAAAAGATCCAGAAAGAAATAAAGATCAATCGTTAACGAGTAAAATAAATATCAAATCTAATATACTTGCGAATAAACAGAACATAAATATGAATGATTCATTTCCAGTGACAAAAGTGAAATTAAGAAAAGAATTTAAAGAATTAAGAAAGGCAGGAAAAATGCTTATAAATATAAATGATCTAAATATAACAAATAAAAGTAATTTGTATAATGCAGCCTCAATTCTTATAAAAGATGCTCAAACCTTTAAAAAACGACACATGATGAACGCAGCTGATGAAATGCAAAAACATATTAACAATCAGACGGTTAAGCCCAAAAACGTCCACACATTACTTAGATTAGTAGACCTAGAAAGGAAATATCAAAGAAGTATCACTTCTTTAAGCCGAGATTTAAAGAACTAATCTATGCAAATTAATATATTTGTTAAGTGATGTAATATCATCATCTGATGTGTACTTGTGTAATATATGATTAAAATTGTTCGAAAGATGTATTCTGTACATTTTAACTGTATAAATTTGCGTTGAACTATATTGAACTAGACGCATATGTATTATTATATATATATTATATTATATATATATATATATATATATATATATATATATATATATATATATATATATATATATACTATACACACACACACACACACACACACACACACACACACACACACAACACAATATATATTATATATTTGGAAGAGGAAAATATATTATTATAAACTAAATTTCGTATCTTTCGAAACCAAAGTTATATATGTTAAATTTTTTGTCTAGTTACTCTTTGTCTGTCTCGATGATTGCAACGATTAAGATAACTACTTTGAAATATTAACATAACTTAAATATTACGATTTTCTTATATAGTGATAGGTGATAATTTACCGTTATTTTGTAATCCTGGCTGCGTTCCGATGTTCACTGCCAGTACTGAAAATCTATAACATACCTGAACTATATATTTTCAATACTGACAATGAATATTGGAACGCATATCCTACATTTTGGGATATTCTAAAAATTCTTATTTCATTCACAATTCTTAATTTGTTAGTATAAAAATGAAAAATTATTAATAACAATAATTATTATTTTATCTTTTGGTATTTTTATTACAACACAAATGATCACTCGTAAATATAAACGAAGAGTTCACCTTGCGTTTTAGACTTATATATATCAAGAAATTCAATGTTAATGTTTTTTTAATGTTACATTTAATGTTTACATTTAAACTTCACATTATTGTATTTTTGATAAAATAATTAAAATTCAACTTTAAAAAATTAAAAGATTCAAACTACATTTTTATTTGAAACTCTAGTAATTTTATTAGTATTAATTCAGAATATTAAATAATATCAGTATAAAGTAAAATATACTGCAAAGTGGTTAATTATGTCATGTTAACTAAGAAGAGCTCATATATTATTTAAAAGTATCATGTATCATATAGAAAGTATTTAATCGCAGAATTAATCCCATTATTTGTACATAATTCTTAAATATATAATGTAATTTGATGTATAACACTTTTTCAGTAATCACATCCACAAGATTCAGCAATGTTTTGCTTCAATCGTATCCATCCTAATACGCATATGAAAATCCTTAATCTGACTGTTATTTCTTCATTGGCGGTGGACCAACTATCGGAGGCGGTGGCCCGTTCATCGGCGGTCTCATGTGACCCATAGGACCTATGGGGCCCATCATAGGACCCATCGGTCCCATCGGCCCCATCATAGGTGGTCTCATGCCCATCATAGGAGGTGGCATCGGTCCATGTGGTCCCATCATCATCGGGCCTCCTGGTCCCATCGGTCCGGCTGGATGCATTCCCGGCGGCGGCATCATCCCCGGGGGTCCCTGAGGCGGTACTCCGGATCGCGAGCCCAGGCTGGAGCCGAGATTCGGTGGCGGTGGTATCGCCGCACCCTTGTTCGCCGCGAAAGGATTCGAGGCGATCTTACCGGCTTTAAAGGCGGCTGTCGTCGCATCAATCAAGTGCTGGGCCTGCTCCTCCATCCATTTCTGATAGAAATATTTCACGTTATCCTTGTGCTTGCGACCCTGGCAATGGGTCTTCCGTACACTCGGAGAGTCATGTGTCAAATAAGTGTCGCAATAGTCACAATAATATTTCGGCATCGATACGCTTCTCGACAAACGCTGCTGTTTTAGTAGGTTTCAATGCAATGTTTCAAATTTTTCTCGATCACAACTGCCAAGAAAACGAATTGCGAAATAGAACCTCTAGGTTATGTATGATATACTATCGGCAGCACTAGACAGTTCGAACTCATTGAAAGTTTGCAATAGAAGCGATGAAAGCATCTGATTGGCTGGCATTGCGAACAACCAATCACAATCATAAACGTCATTTTTTTCTACTCGTAGCGAACATCAACCAATGGCGACAGTCATAATTTGATATTATATTTAAGATTGTTTTGAATTTGATCTTAAATGATCTTGAGATATCATTCTAAGACTGATCCATTTAAGCTCGGTTAAATCAATGATATTTTAAGTTTAAACGAGATTTTAAATTTCTATCAAAGTAAAAGAGAAATTTAAAGAGCTTTAATTTGCACTAATTTTAATAATATAAGTAAGTTAAAGTACTTTAAATATCGCTTTTGTTTTACTATAATAAATTTAAATAAACAACTGAAAGAAAGTATAACCAATTTCTCGGAAGCAGAATCTTAGGCTCTAAATATCTATATGAAATAAATTATATCACAAATTTAAAGTTTTAAATTTCATTTAAATTCAGCTAATGTTCAACGCTTTGAAATATTTATAACATCAAATAAAATGCATTCTGAGATATCATCCACAATAAAATGTTTGCCTAACTTCTTGAAATTTAGGATTATAATTATTTCATTTAAATCAAAATTTTTCTTTTTCTTTTGATCAAACCAAATTCAAGAGAAAAAGAATTTAATTTCATACTTTTAATCGCAAATGAAGTCAAGATGAAAAAATTTTAAAACCATCTAAACAACTTCGAAAGCCAGTGATTCTTAAAAGTGAAATAAAAATTAGTCATAAAAATGCGATTGGTACAGTAGAGAACAAACAATAATCGAACAAACGGAATAAATAATTAATTATGTAGTACATAATTAATATATATATATATATATATATTTACCAAATTGATTCGGTCCAGGCATAATTGGAAATCCCCAGCCTATGGGTGAACTATGGACTAGAGGGACTGTATTTGAATGTGGGGGTGTATGTGAATATGGGAGTATATTCGAAAGTGAATGATGCCAAATCCCTCGGCAATAGTTGAAATATGCTCCGTTTTCACTCATGTTCATCGATTAGAAGACGCGTGATGTGTTTAAATGAACATGCGAATAATTAGAATCTCATGATAATTGACACGATGCGATGATCGCCTAGCACGGTCGCACGGTGGATTTAATTACTATGCTCGCGATAGAAAACGCGAGAAATTAAGCGGGAATCCGTTCTTCGGGGATTCCCTATTTTGCACCGATGCGACGTGGCGAGATGACGGCGATAACGATGGCGATAACACACACGACGACCTGTAGGACACGACTGCCGGATTCCTAACAACATAATAACGTCCAAATTAATTTTGAACGTTAATCTCATGTTTCAAACGAACGCAAGATACCGGGCGGTTTATTCGAATGTTCTATATATAATTAAATATAATTATATATTAATTATATCTAATTATATATAAATATAATATGTATAAATATATGCATTAATATATAATTATATATCGTATATATTATATATATATATATATACGATATATATATATAATCATCTATATAATCATCTATATATATATATACGATATATATATATAATCATCTATATAATCATATAGTATAATATATATGATATATATAATATATATGATATCATATATATTATATAATCATATATAATTATATATTTTCATATATACAATGTATTCTACATACATAATTATATAGAATATATGGACAATTTTTTATTGAGCAGGCATTTTTCCCATTGATAAGATTCTTACAGAACAGAAATATAATTGTAACATTTAAAAACAAATTGTATTAAATTAATAGTTATTCTTATTTACGTAAGCTTTCAGATTAATAACACAGAATCAAGTAAAATTAACAAATAAACAGTTTATATCAATTTCACAATTGGGGAATTTATTTTCGAAAATTTGAAAGAACATTATTCATTATTAAAAGATAAATCACACACGGTTCGAAAACAAAATTCGAAATTCGGTAGATAAAGTTTGAAATCTGCGTGTCGTACGTTTTATCTACGTCTACACTATCACACTAATCAAAATGTCATTGTAATTGCTTCAAAGATTTACATTTGAAATTCGAATTTCAAATTATCAGTATTTATCTCCTTTCGATCATCATGTTCTCGAAATGTAAGAGGCCGTGTTTACGGAAACCGAATATTACATTATATACTTAATGAAAGAGTATATGATTATAACGTAATCTTAACTTATAATGTAGAGGATGACAAGTATATTCTAATACATAAAAAATTTTTTATATAAGTAGAATTAATAAATATAAGTTAAATTCAATTTCAGTACTTAATTTATCAACTAATAACAAGTATTAGATGCAATTATTTTGTAATTATATCATTTTTTGCCTCTATCATTAGCTTGTTTTAATCTTACAATTAGCTCGTAGTACATACCATATTTTGTGATATGCTGCATACACTTTAAAGTATATTTATGATTGAATTTCAAATGTTCAAATATATTTATATGTATGCTATCAAAAATCAACAATTATAAATATTTAAAGTAATTTAAGATCGTTACAAAAAATTTTGGGTTAGACATGGGTCAGAATATGGTACGTGTCGCGTGACAAGATTTTAAATCAAATTTTAGCGAGTAAGAAATAATATAATTAAAAATAATTTAATAAAATATTTTATTATTTTTTAATTAAATTAAATTTGTTAATTAAATTTATTATTTGTTATTATTTGTTAAATAAAACGTCGAAATTGAATTTAAGTTTTATTTATTTATTTTAAATATACTGAAATTTCTTTATATACTAGAATATATTTCTCTGTATGCATACGATGCGATATTAAGCGCGCGCATTACATACGTAATACAAAATAATAAGTAATAAAATAAAATGCAATATTGCAACTCAGTATTCGTTGCGACCGCGATAAGCTGTGCGGAAGTCGTGTTACAGCAGTGCAAAAAGTATAAAAAAGAGGCGCAAAGTAATCACATTTGTTCGAATTAAAAAACAAACATATAAATATATAAAAAAAGATACGCGAGGAAATTATGCGAGGAAAGCGAACTCCAATATGTCTACGGAGAATATTTATGGCACATTTCATCTGACGACGGCGTAATTTGGAGTTGGCGCGTTCACCGTTCCCCAAAAGAGAATGAGTTTCGTGGGATCGTGTCTAATGAAAAAGATAAAAGGTCGATTAGCGACTAGCTTCTTCTGATTGCCGTCCCGGCGTAGGAGCACCGCGGTCGTCGCCGCTGCTTCCGTTCCCTTCTCCGTCACGTCCATCTCCACCTTATGCAACACTTCGTTCGCATACAGGCCCGGATTCACGAGACCTGGACTATTTCTCAAGATGTCCAGGCCATAAGAGGGAAAACTTTGAGTCTGCATGAATTTCAAGAAATTCTGGTCCATGGGTCGGCTCTGTCGTCTCCTTCTGGTCGTCTTCCTCTTGGCATCGCGGAAGCGATATTTATTCTCTTCCAAACTCACGTATCTCGTATTTGCATCATCAATTTTCGGCGCGACTTTTCCAAGGTCGTCGTTCTCCATGACGTACGTCGCATCGTTCGATGGCTTCATGTCGTTACGTTGTCTTCCGTTCTGAACATCGCGACGTGTCCTGACGGTCTTACGAATGCTAAAACCAGTGTCCCACTGTTCCACACTGACGCCGCGTATCTTATCGTCATACGTAAAGTAATTTCTCCTCGTGGTATTGGTCACGCCTTGACTATTGGTGTTCCCAAAGTTATTTCGCGAAAAGATCAAGTACTCCTTGTTTTTGTCGTCCGGTTGCACGGAAGATAATTGTCGTGATGTATGCGGCAATGCTTGTGCAATCGGCGCAGTCTGAAGCGGAATAACCTGTGGAATCGACGTAGCTTGTGATACCGGAGCAGGTTGTGGTGCCAGAGTAACTTGTGGCACTGAAACGGGTAATGGTGCCAGAGTAGCTTGCGGCGCTGGAATTTGACCGTATCCGCTCGACACGAGGCTCAAATCTGCAGTTCTTGGGTCGAACAGTGATTGTAGACCCAGGCTATGAAGTGCATTATTCAAATTCAATTTGCTCGAGAGTTTCATACGAGGAAAGCCAATGATACAAGTCTCGTTCTTGGTACTGTTTATTAAGCGTTCGATAGTTTCAGCCGTCAATTGATCCTGGAAATTTCTCAATGCGGCAGCTCCTTCGGCTTTCGGTAAAAGCACGTACATGGACATCTGAGAATAAGAGAGAAAATCCTTATGAATTTAAAAAGAAAAAGGAGAATTTATCAAAGTAAATTATCTAAGTTGATTAACACGCAAATAATAATAACAGAAAAGTATCGAAGAAAAAAAACTCAGAAATTAAATTTATAAAAGCTTGAGAAGTAATAATTTAATTTTTGACTTCATTTCTTTTTTTTTTTATAAAAATATAATTTTAAAAATAAAAATTTAAATACTTTTTAGATCATTTTTTTCAAATTTTACTTAGAAAAATGTTTCTCAAAGTTTCATTAAAATTTAAAGGTATTTCTGAAATTAAAGAGCAATGTAGCAATGAGTAATTAATATTCTTATACATTTACCTCTAAGCCTTTGTAAGGCAAACCCACTATTTTAACGCCTAGCGATTTGTCTTCGTAAAATGGAAAATTGCCGCCGTTGTACATCATATCTACCTCGACCGTGGTATTTGGCTCGATGGAAAATTGTCTCCTGTAACAAGGAAAAAAATATAATTACGGAAACAATAAATACAGGATTTTTTACAGGTTTTTTTGATCATTATCGATGGAAAAATAACAAACCTCCGAGTCATTCCCCCCAAGAAATGTTGATTCCATTCTCCGTTGAAATAAAGCGCCGATAAGAGAATCACAGTGGTCAACGGATCCGGCATTTCGCTCAATATACTGTCTATTTTGTTCATTGTTCGTTGCTTCACCCAAGCGTTTATTGTATCTCGCGCTTCTCTGCCTTTTGTTCGAAAATCCAAATTTATTACTTCGCTCTGATACGCATTCTCGCTGATCGCGCGAAATTCAGGTCGAATCGGATATCCTTCCTAGAGCAAAAATTAAAAATCTTTCATAATTATACTAAAAGAAGCTATTCATTTTGGAGTTATAGAGAGAAATAGAGAGAAATATTTTGTCTATTTCTAAAACTTAATATGAAAATTTTATTTTCAATAAAATTCATATAATTTAAACATTATTCATATTTTGACATAATCTTTTGTAAAAATCTTTGTTAAATATTTAGATAACAAATTTAGCCTCAATTTTTGCATTAATGCAAATTATCTCTTAGCGTATAACGTAAAAGATCATAACATTAAATATAAATTACCTGCACGAAAATACCACTGGCGGAATTCACACGTGGCATATTACTACCCTCAATCCTGTAATTCATGATAGCCAACAATTGACCGAACATCTGATGAACAATCTCCGAGTGTTGGGATATATCGACACCAGTCTCTAAGCCGAGAATCCGGGCAACCTCGTTGAAGGTTTTGCCAGCAGAACCTATTAAAACTAATGACAAGGCAACGGACACGCTGAGTGGAGAAAAGATCACGTTTTCTCGCTGACTAGTCACCGACGTGCCTCTACTTTTGTAAATCGCCTTATCTAAGTCCAAAGCAAACTTTGTGATTCCTCTCGATATAATATTTGTCACCTGCAATCAGCAATATCAATGTATCTCTATACAAAATATATATGATTCTTCGAATCCATCGAATCCATTTTTAACTTGTTTGAAAATAATATTTGAAAGATTTAATTTTTATAACAAATAAATATTATAATTGCACATGCGAGTAATAGATCGATAATAATTTACATGAGTGCTCCAAGTTTCTTGTAAGGATTGCGGGTCGCCTGTCGGGCTTATCGTCGAAAGTACGGGAACAGGCGTGGTATAAAACTGTGCCTCTGCTGGTCTCGCGGTGCTGAATTGCGGAGTAACTCTTTGATTGAATTGTCGATTAATTGGAACAGGTTGACTATTGCTGGCCGCTTGTAATGTTGGCGCTGAATAATTAGGAAGTGATGCAAAGGTATGACTGGAGTCAGCAATCATTGTCTCATATTGATCTGGATAAACAATTTGACCACCAACCAACGCCAAAAAAGCAAGCAATAACCATGATTGTGCCATGATATTTAGAAGTATCTGCAATAAAAAGACAGGAAAATATTTATCTTGATTTAATTGATTCTTCTTGATTGATTTTTGAGAAAATAATTTAAAAAAAAATACATTTATATTATAAACTTTATAAAATTCAATTTACAAGATCAAAAATTTGTTAAAATTTGTTAAAAAATATTTTAACTTTTTCCATTAAAAAAAAGTTTGTCTTTATGTCTTCTTATGTTTTTGGACTGGTTATAATTAGATTCGAATAATCTCGTTGCTATTTGTATGGATCATATTTGTGGTGGGTGGGCATTCTTTTTTCGAAAAAGTGTTTGCGGAATCACAGTTACTGGTTCGTGACCATGAATAGAGATTCTGTATTTGCAAACGGCGAGCAGTGGAATCTCGTAAACATAACATAATAATAACGCCTAATGGCATGTAGTTCATATAATTACTCGCCACGTACAAAAACGAAACTAACGCTGTTCCGAGAAATATAATTTTATTTGTAGGTGCAATAAAACATTTCACATTATTAACGTTGATATTAACATTTTGCCGAAAGAATTACGATATATTTTAATCGATAATCATGATACAAATGTAGAAAAATATATTTTGCATCGTAATATATAAGATAGATGTTCCTAAGCGATATATCATTAATTTGGAATAATATAATCAATTGTGCCAGGCGCTTCTTGCTAATTATAAAGATAGATGGGACTAATGAGATAAACAGTCAGGAAACAGGTTGATAGAAGTATCAACAAACAAAGGAAATACATGCAAAATGAAAATTCGCATTGGGCGCGTAGTAATCAGACTGATAAAAGAATCTCCATTAATTATTACTTATCTTGAATAATTCATTATCAGTTATTATTATATTAGTTTTAGTTTCGAACTTATGACCAATTAACTTTGACTATTTAAAATAAGGTTTTAAGCTTATATCTCTGCATATCTTCGATACATTGCATTTCGGAATCAATGAAATATTTAACATTTGGATATTAAAAACTCAAAAAATTGTTGAGATACAAAAGAAGAATTAATTCTTTCTGATAAAAAATGAACAACAACGAATTTGTTGTAAAATTCTGTAAGAAGATTTGGTAAATCAAAGATATCCTGTATAATTCAGAGACATAATCTTTACTATGCACAACCATAAATTAATATCCAATTTTATTCACTATCCATTACGCTAATAATCAGCTAATAATCATTCATCTAGTGTTCAACGTGGAACTATCTACTCTATTATTCCTATAGCATTTTTAATTTCTCACGAATAGACATGTAACATCGACTGCGTTATGCACATGCAACTCTTTCCTTGTTATCAAAAATGCATTCATTAACGTTTTATATAATTTTTTCATTAACGTTTTATATAATTTGCTCGCTGTTGTTGTATAATAAACTTGCAAAATAGGAAAAAGGAAGAACAGGATAAAAGCAATTTATAAAAATATCTCAAAAGATGATACATAAATATAAAATTAAAGAAAATTCCACAATGTTTTTCAAAATCGATGCGAATTAATTTAAGAAAAAGTAAATATTCAATCCCTTTTTTTACATATGAAAGTCTTTTTCAGTATGCTTTTATTCAATTTTTTTTTTTACGACAAGCTATAAATATTTCTGTGGCGTATATTCTTTGAGTATTTAGCCAAGATGTTTCTATGTCTAGAATCTCTAATGAATCAATGTCAAGGAATTTACAATGCTTCTATTGTGACGATATTGAGGCAATACTTGCAGAATTGAAAATAATACGACGTCTTTGGGCACGTTGAATGACATCTGTGTCTGAGAAAGACACTAAGCATATAATGCCGTTGGGAATTCCCAAGGGAGTGCCAGACACGTTACATAGATTAGGGATTAGTTGCTTATAAATAGGATTCTTCAATGTCCTCTTAAACCACTTGAAACTTCTAAAACTCCCTCAACAAACAACAAATAATTTTTAAACTCATGTTTTCTGATTGAATCAATGAATACAATATGTGCTTGAAAATTTGAATAAATCAGATGCATTCTCTGAGGAATTCCACAGAATCCTATTATCTTATCTTTACTCACAGATTCCTTCCTTCGTCAATCTCAAGTTGATTTTACTGGAATGTCCTATACGATAAAATAAAATTAAAAAAAAAAATTCACCGTGATATCCCGTAATATTGCATTTTATAGTGGTACACTGACGCATTTCATTTACATCGAACAGTGACGTTTCTGATAACTGGAATTCCCGCCTCAAAGTCAAACAGCGTAAGTTATTTTCACAATTACGATCGATTGAGCCAGTTTTTTTTATGCTTATCTGGTGGCAATGCGTATTAACGTTTATATATGTTATATATGTTTGCATGAGCACGCAAGGCGCGTGTCATCTAATAACATCTTTGACACATATCGTGTTCTATCATTATCTTTTAATTAATTACGTTACTAGAAAAGTAATAGAATTTAATAAACATAGGGCCGAGCAAAACAAAAAATCAGTACCAATATAATTTCATTAAATTTATTTTAACACTAAATAAATATACATTAAAATTAAATTCATCAAAATTATATTGATTGAACTTATCATAAAGATGAAAAGTTTGTGCATTTACTTTAAATTTTTATCAATTACTTTTTTTTTAAATATTAGAATTTTTTGTTAATAATCATATGATATATAATTGATATAATCCGAATTAGAAAAATATTTTATTTCATTGAATTTACAATTATAATTATTAATTAATATATTATCATAAAAACGAAGGAAAATTTTATAGTATGCATATTAATATATTTCAAAACCGGTTTTCTGTAATTACATGTATAATATATTTATTTTATCTGGTTTCATCTCATTTTTGTCATATCATATCTCTAACCTTTAGCTTAAAGCTATCAATTTCATTAAAAGAAAAATAAAAAGACGCCCACTCTTTATCAAAAGCTGCTTCTCAACAGGATTTGATTTTATCCTGAAGGTCATATGTGAAAGTAAAATCATCATGAATAGCTTATCACGTATTGTTGCTTTTTCATATTTTTTTTATTTGACACATTAAGCAATGTCATATAAAGTAATATTGCATATTTTACTCTGAAGCGAAACACTTCTCAGTCACTTTCTTATGTCAATGTAATTATAAAATTTAGGAACAAAGCATTCAGTAATCACTTTTTTATTATATAAAATCTTCGCGTAAAAAAATAATATATTTTCAACTGCTAATTATAAACTGGTAATTAACTAAGACAAACAGAAAATGATAATTAAATCATTCAGTTTTAAAAAGATATGATCCCAATATCGTTTTCTTCACGAAAAATTTACAATATTAATCATTATAATTTACAAAAACATTTCATTATTGTTTTTATAAGTTGAACATTATACTAACATTTCTATTTTTTATAAACAACACGATTATACAAAAGCGTCGTATTCGATTTTTCATTTTTTTTTTCGCTTCAGCAATTAAGGTTTCCTCTCTAAGTATAAAAATAAAAAAGCAGATGGAAAAAAAGGCTTGTTGCTTCTGGGAACAACAATTCGATGACAATCAACACCAACCTGAGGGAAGAAATAACGGCGAGACAATATTCCGCGGAGTCCTCGAAAACTTAGTACGGATCGTCTCGATCGATTTGCCGCTTGGACACTGCGTCGTTTCAACGTTCTCTGGATTATAGGTCAAGTTCAATCTTACGATCCACCTTGTAAAATCGCGCGATTCCGGTGTCCGTACTCGGCAAATGTCGCAAATGTATGATCTTCTCTTGTTCAAACGTTGATTTCGCAAGCCTCTTCAGCCGTGTTCAGGTGAGGACTACCGTGGCCCACTCGCGGTGTGTAACGCGGATACTAACGGGGCATCAGGTTCGCCGATCTCTTTTATTGGTACCCGGATCAACGACGACGCGACGACGCGGAGAGAGACGCGGCGTGAACACCACGCATAACTGAACGTAGACGCTCGATGCTGACATTGACTCACCGCTCTCTTACATTGAAGCGCGGTTTGCACGACGCTATTCTTCCTTCGGCGCACCTGCTCAAAGATGCACTCTGGAGCAGAGGAGAAACGACCGGCGAAAATAAATGGCGAAAGTAAAATAGAATAATCTCGGAATTGCAGCTAGCTTCTATCATTAATATCCATTCCTTCTATAATAAATTAATTTCGTTAAACGTCGGACCTAATTCATTTATTTATATATATGTTTTATATATATATATGTTTATTTAAATTTACGTATTAAAATAATTGACTCACCGCTGTCTTACATTGAAGCGCGGTTTGCACGACGCTATTCTTCTTTCGACGCTTGCACTCTGAAGCAGTTGCACAGAAGCTGAAAGTTGCACTCTGAAGCAGAGGAGAAACGATTGGCAAAGATAAATGTTAAAATAGAATAATCTCGAAATTGTAGCTAGCTTCTATCACTAATATTTTTTCCAATAGATTAATTCATTAAACGTCGGAGCTAATTTGTTTATACATGTTTATTTAAATTTGCATATTAAAAACAAACATTATTAAAATAAAAATAATCAAAAATAAAAATTTATATTAATATATGTGTACTTTTAATCTTAAAATATATTAATTATAATTATACGCGCATATTATTTTACTCGTGAGTTTCATCCATTTTTATACGTCGCATCAAATCCAATAACACTGAAGTTATTCATGATTGATACTGCATTCAGTCTGCTAATTTTATTTTCAATTTAACTTATTTTTTATCTTTCTTTGATTTTAAAAATTAGGAAAAGACAAAAAATATATTAAACTAAAATTAAAACTAATCTACATTTTGATAGAGATAAAAAATGAGCATGTTTCAGTAACATTCGTGCTCGTTCTGCATAATACTCGGTCTAGTTTGATCTCATGCAGGCACCCAGGTGAAGCCGCATGGGGGCTGTCTGAGGTAGGACTCATTTATCATCGAGAGATTACCTCATGAGAAACCAGTTTTCCTACAAACAATGTTGAACATTAGATTGTAATATCGTCGCAGCGATAACGCAAAGCATATGAAATATTACAGGATATTCTCAAGAAACAAATGGAATGAAGATAATATCGACTTTAAAGGAATAAATTTAGAGTATCGATCAATAAAAACAAGGAAATGATGAGAGACTCTATAGATCATTGTAAGTGGCAATTGCTATAAAAAATTGCAATAAGTTATCGCGTATCATCGCTTATCAATCACTCTGCGCACATGTGTGCGTGCATTTGCGTATGCTACTTTCATTGGAAAATTAAGATATGTGCCAATTCGGGGTAAAACTTATTACATGATTTGTTATTCTGAAGACGCATCGTTTTTATGAATCATTTGGATTATTTATTTTGTACACGCCTCGATGATTAAATGTGTATCGCGCACTGTGTCAAAACGTAATTCCCGTCTGATACGACAAGTGTTTGAAGTTCTGCATCAGCGAACTTTTTGTTCTCGTTTCCGCTGATTAACACTCTTGTGAATGAATTGCGAAACGGTTCTCTTTTATTGCGATGGAATTTAAATGAATTTATAACAATACATGCCTACTGATAACACATTCTTCGCAACGTGTGTAAAAAAAGATAAACCAAAATCTATCTTGAATATACTCTTGAATTGTGTAATTATTCTAATCCTTATAAAAAAATCGATTAATCGAAAAAAAAGTTTACTTTTAAGTAATTTATTATCATGAAAATTATTATTTTATTTGAAATAAAATATTATATATTTATTTATATATTTATTTATAAAAATATTAAGTATTTATAACAAAAATTAATATTTTAAATAAAATATCAAAAAGTTGTCATAAATAATAAACCTTTTCAAAAAAATGCATATTCTACGCATTCTGATTTGTTTCCGTAATATTTTTAACATTCTTTGTTTATTTTTTATGTTAAACGTACAGATGTTGGAATTTCTCTTTTACTTAGTTTTAGTAATATTTAAAATTAATAACAAAGATATCTTATGAGAGAGTTTATTTTCATATCTTTATTTATAATAATAGATGACGTATACGTGACGTTTAAAAAAAAGTCAAATATCTGTTATGGAAAATCTGGTAAACCTTGCATAGACCGCAGTGACCAAGACTTCCGTTGGAATAAAAATCATTTCGATAGTACTTACTGTTAATTTTTATCTCTTATTCAAAAATTCATAAAAATAAATAAAATATCGATAGGAGCAAACAAAAGTAAAAAGTGTAAAATATTTCTCAAATAAAAACTCAAAGAAATTATATCTCGTTTAGTTTTAATGTGTATTAACAAAGAATGGACATAATTAATTAATAAAAATTAATAAATATTAATATAACTATATTAAATAGTATATCTTTATAAATATTAATAGATATTAATAGATAAAATGAAAGAACGACGAGAAATATTAATGTATAAGAGAGTAATAAGAGAGAAAGATGTGTTTTTAAATGCGCCTAAGCTAATCAGAATCGGTACAGTCGAGCGCATTAAAGTTCGGCTCTTTCACGGCAGCCATATTGAATGTGTGACGTTAGAGGCAAGAAATGATATGCAATAAAAACTTTGCAAATTTTAGCTTTATTGTTTAATTTTTTATTGGTCATGACATTTTAAGCATTTTTGATTGAAGAATAATTCATTATTTCAAAATTTGTCATCATTTTTCGTCTCTGACGTTATAAAACCGAGTTGGTTACTTGAGAAAGTCGAGTCTTAATATACTATGTTACTTACGTTTGCTTCATGAATCATCAATTTTTTTGTTCTCTATAAAAACGTAATATTTAAATTTTACAATTTACAAGTGCAAAAAGTAAATAAATAATAATAGAGAAATGTATTGAATTTTTTCAATGTTACTGAATAAAATGTATTTTTTGAAATTTTTCCTCTTAAATTCCACTCTTATTTCGACACATGCGCAGAATGAGAATACAATTAGCGCTCAATCCTTTGCTTATTTTTTTTATCTAATATTGTCGTATAACAAATACGAATGGCGAAAGAACAATGCGAAAAAATTTTAATTCCGACAATTACAAGGTAAATAAATCTAAAACAAAGAAATTAAATCTCATGGAAAGGAATTTCATCGGCAATTTTACATCGCACGAAAATTGTCCCTCTCCATTCGTGCCTACATTTAGGATTCTCAGCTGGCGAGGCGCAGTCGTCGCGCATGCGCGATGGCACAAGTATTATCTGACCGCTTATGATCTTAAATCGCGTATTTGTGGCATTTCCATACAATTTAGGTTAGGTTACTTATTACACCTATATAAGAAAAAAGTAGAAATATCGGAAGAATCCATAGAATTGAAAACGCGTCGATCAGTTCGTATCGATCGAGGAAAGTCAAGGTAGATTTGGACGAGACAAATCGTCCGAATCTGCCCAATCGCGAAGTTCAGAACGGTGTGGCGCCAATATGCTCTCGAATTCACCCACCAACCGGAAGGCGAGGGAATCGAAAAGGTCTCACGTCGCGAACGCACGCTCGCGGTGGGCGGGCGCACTATTGGCGGTGCCACTGCTGCACTACGTTTCCCGCCAACATGGCAAATATGTCGGCGCTCGTGTCGTTTCCCGCCAAGCCCCCGCGGCAACCCTGTTACGGCGCAACGAAGTTTTTGTATGGCGGTATATAGAAGAGTGTTTTTCCCGCGGTATCTCGTTTGTGTTCTACGTTCTAGGCTGGACTTTGGCGCGAAAAGATGGGGCAGTCGGACGATATTGAGGACTCGATGTACAGCCGGCACCAGGATCTATGCCAGAAGCTAAATATGGACGCGACTGCCGCGTCCGAAGCTTGGAAATCCTACGAAACTATCCGCCAGAACTACACTCTCGAGGTAATATTTACTTCGCGCTAGCGCGACCGCCTTACTCGACGGAAAACGCGATGCGTCATTCCACACGAGATTTCCTCCGCGGACGGACCGATCGTGATCGTCTCCGAGTGGATCCGAATGATCCGGGCGATTTTCCATCTCGCGAGAGATGATTCAAAGCGCGACGGACAAATTGTTTGGCGCGTTAATCTTGAGAGGGTCGCGTCATAGAAATATCTCATCGGCTGATTCCATCCTTGAGATATCATTTTTAATCGCAAGGATCGATATTTTAAAAATCTTTGCATCTTATATTCGTAGTTCCATCAGTTTCAATGTTTAAAAAAATTTTTTCAATGTTATTTCGATACTTTGATACAATTGTATAAATTGTTTTAAAAAGAATTTCTGATATACATTTGCAGGGTGACCAGTTGCATTGGATAGGATGTGCAGTATATGTAGCTTGTAGAAAGTTTTCTATACCTACAGTAGGAAGGCCAGGCACAAATGTAGAAGGCAATTGCGTATCTCTGACCCGTCTGTTGCAATTGTGTAATCTTCCACTGATACAGTTCTTTAGCAAAAGCAAATCATGGGCAGATATGACAAACATGTCGCAAGACTTCCGTGCCAGAATAGACAAGCTAGAGGCAAATTTCTCGGTGTCTATGCTGATATTTAAGAAGTATCAACCAATTTTTACCTTTATATTCAAAGATCCACGAGAGGATACCTCTAGACCATCTAGATCCAGAAGACACAAGGCAGTACCTTGTACATCCACTAGAGTTTTTGAATTTTGTTGGACACTATTTATATGCATAAAAGGTGCAATTCACGATATCTCGGATGATCTTGTTAGTTCTTATCATCTCTTGTTAGTCTGTTGCGATCTTATATATAGCAATGCTTTATTGGCTAACAGGAAAGACCTGCTAAATCCTAATTTTCCTGGTAAGTATTTCCAAAATTAATTCTTAAAATGTAACTATTACAATTCAGGAAAAATAATTCTAGCTTATATTTTTTAATTTACAGGTTTACCAGCAAATTTCAATGATGAGAATTATACTCCACCGCAAACAGCAAACTGTATTGTTAACTTACTATGTGAACATCATGATGCAATCGCTGTTGAGGCTAAAGCTATAAAGGAATATTATATGAAGAATTATATTAATAAATTATTTAACGACAGAATCTTACGTGGTGATCAGTCAAATTTTTCTGCTATACTAGAAGCATTGAATTTTGATAATAATAGCAAGGCCATTAACAAAACTTATGAGCAACGCATGCTAAGCGTCGGAGATTTTGACGAAAGAATTTTCTTAGGTAAAATTATTATCTATAATTGAATCAAGAGTTTGACAGTTATGTGATACAATAGCACTGAATAAAATATAGGCTTACATTATCTTATATAATCTTGCATGCTTTTTGCTATCTTATTTCGCTTCTGTATATCTACATAAATTGTTTAGCAAAAAATTAATAGTTTCCATTGAATTAAAACTACCTAATAGCGAACTCGCAATATATGGGATTGTTAATATATTAAATATTGTTATATATGAAATTGAAAAATAGAAGTGCATAATGTTACAAATAATTATATAGTCAATAATGAATTTGTCAACAGAATATGCATCAATGATTTCATCAGAGAGGTTTTATGATATTGTATTTCATGTGAAGCTGTCTTTAATATATTTTAATTCAATATAATGCGAGTGTTGAATTCGCTTTAAAAAGTTGTTTAACATGTTAAATCTTATTTATATCTCTTTTTTAACTTGCACTTTTATTCTAATTATCTATGATATAATTTATACAATGAAACTATTTGAATTTAGAGATTATTTCTTGAAAAAAGTTGAAAAAAGACAAACTAAAAAAAAAAAGAAATTCCTAGCAACTTATTTAGTTTGTTAATATTTTTTATTCTTTTTTTTTTTTTTTAACAAATTTGTGTATTTGCTTTGTCGTAATTGCTTTATAGCGAAATGGAGAAGAGTAAGTTTGATCGATGTATCAAATTCAAATATATTTGGCCAAAACAGTGCTAAGCATGTCCAGTTTGCTAATCATGAAGTTTTACAAGGTGGGTTTGCGATATCTTGTGCGAATGCTTTTGTCTCGTAACTGATTATCAGATTTTTTCCATCTACTAACCGCACATTTTTCAAATATAAAATTGAGTCATTTTATTTTATTATTTTTTTTAATTATAAGACATTTTACATGAATTTATTCTTGTTTCAGGTCATGATGCTAATGAGAACATTGGTTCCCCTACTCAGATGATAAATATTGATGATTTCAATGAGCGATTGCAGATAAAGAGAGAACAGTACGCTGGGGTAAATTTTAGGAATTATATCTATTTTATCTGAAAAATATTAAGTATTTTTTTATACGTTTTACTGCGCAATATTTGTATAACTTTTTATTTTTCATAGCAGATACAATATTTGGCTCCTCCTACGCCATTGACCGGTCGTAAATATCTCCGATCGAAGGACGTATCTAATATAACGCCAGTAACCACAGCAACTCAAAGCGTCATTAAATTACAAGCTTTGATAGCTGGGCAATCTGCACCGAGCGAAAGTCTATTACAGATGCTTAACAATTGTTCTCAAGATGTTAAGTCCTCACTCGAGGCAAAAGTTAAACAGATTGGTGAACTATTCTGCGCGAACTATAATAACAATGCAAATAACATTAACATAAACGACGATGCAACATCCGATTTTGGAAAGAAGCGTCTTCTTATGGGACAAACTTTGTTTTACAAGCTTCTCGAAATGATTCTAAATGATGAGAAGCGCAAAAAGCCAAATGATGATATAACTGTAAGTTTACATAAATTAAATATCGTAAAAAAAGCAGCGTATTTATATATTGATTGTTTGTGTGTTACAGAATCTTCTTTTGAATGAAGTATTTATTCAATGCCTTTTTGCTTGCTGTCTCGAGATAGTTATATATTCATACAAAAGTAACGACAAGATATTCCCTTGGATATTAAAGGCTTTAAATCTAGATGCTTACTATTTCTATAAGGTTATAGAAATTATAGTAAGAACCGAGGACCAATTGTCACGGGATGTTGTCAAGCACTTAAATCAAATCGAGGAAAAAATTCTCGAATCCTTGGCTTGGCAGAGCGACAGTCCCTTATGGCAAACTATTGAGTCTCTACCCGATGGTGTACCCAGTTGCGAGGATGTTTCCTTACCTGGCACTTTAGAAACTGCTGATCCGAATGCATCTGGTCAGCCTGTATTAAGACGAATTGCTTTGGATCGGGAACGTACTCATAATGACGTTCAACAGAGTCCGATTTCATCAGCTTCGGAAAGGTATAATTTAATTAATTAAAAGAACAAAAAATGATCAAATTAGTAATTTCCGGAAATTAAAACTGCTCGTATATAATAAAAAAAAATCTAATAGTAAATTTAATGGAAAGAAAGAAGTTATGATAAACATGAGAATATAAATATGATACTTTTGATAGACTAATAATGTGATTCAACTTATCTTTTAGTTTTATTTCTTTTTAAATCATGATTTATCTGCAAGATAATCAAAAA